TGTATTTAGCTTTAGTAAAATTATTTTAAATAAGTATATGGCAAACGAATTGTGCACTAACAATTCATTTAAAAATTTAAGGTGTGAATATGATAAAAACAGAGCTTAAATTGAAATTCAATTTTAGTTTGTGTTATGTTGTGGCTGCTGGGGTATATTCTGCCTTGAATTTTAAATTTTGTTGTCGCTGAATTTAACAGAAAATTCACTTATTTGGCAACGGAAATTGGAGGCGTTTATTTAAGAGATAATGTTTTTGGTATTCATCTAAACGAATCGAGCCCAACGACAGCGAGCTGGTTCGAACGGTTCATCAAATCATTAACAACGTCTTTTCAGTTTGCAGCCGTGATCCCAACTATACACAGTATCCAATCATTAGGTTATGAAATCGATTGAACCGCACTGCGTCCATTGTCTTCTCCCCAGTGAAATGTGTTTATGTATAAAGTTTTATGCACACACACAAATCGAACGGGAAATGAATGTTGCGCACTTCAATAAAATTTATGCAACACAAAACCAGGATATATTGTAACTACACACAGGGACAAAAACACACATACACACACACAAGGGCAGACATGCAAAGCATGTGGGAAATATAATAAAGAACTATTTTTAATATAAACCCAACTCAGACATACACCGTTCACACACACATACACACACATACACACGCACACTTACACATTTAACACACACTCAAACTGTATGCTCATTTGCCGGGCTGTGCGATATGAGCACGCATCGTTGGGCCCAAGAGACGACGCTTCAAGAGTTAGTGAGTGTGTTTGTGTTAGAGTGTCTGTGTCTGTGTGTGTGTGTGTGTGTGTGTGTGTGTGTGTGTGTGATGACTCTTTGGGTGAGTTGTGTGCAGGTAAACTGCAACAAATTTCATACTATTGAGTGGTTTTTGAGTGCATTTGAAATAAATGTTATCAATGAAGTTGCATACTTTATGGCGCAACGTCGAACGGGCGGAATTCCCCCCAGGGGCCCAGCGGCGAGTAAAACCATATAAAATGAAACGTTTTTAAGTTAAGTGCAGTCGTAGCCGAGCTGCCAAAGCCAAGCAGTGCACACAGGAAGCACTGAGCGTTTCAATTTGTTTGATGGAAAACCAATTGTTGCCACCCCCGGCTTACATTTGTCCCACTGTCCAAACTGAATATAAACAAAAAAGAAATAAAAATCACGAATTCATTTAAGCCTTCTGCTGGACGCCATCATCTCCAGTGCCATTAAAGTGCAGCATGCATTTGTCAATTTCCGATTAAAGTACACTTTTAATTAAAACAAAAATTGCTAAAAAAAAAAAATAATAGAGCCCAATTCAAGCTGTTGTTGTAATAGTTTTTCTGAGTAGCAAATAAATCACAAAGAGCGTAAATGCTGCGGAAAAAATGTGTGAGTGGGCAAAAGCTGGGCACAATCGTTCGCAATTTACATTCAATACTTTTGTGCTGGGCGTTCTTGGTGCATTGATTGAAATGCTCTCGCATTTTTGATCTACCCAGATTTTTGCTCTGCTGTGGGCTCGCGCCTTGTTTATAAATAAATATTTCAATTAAAAAAAAAAAAATACAAAAAAGACAAGAAAAAACACAACAAATTGGTGCCCTATAGCTGCAAATTCCATTAAATGAAACTGAAAAATGACAGACGAGCAGCTCCTCAACAAAAGCAAAAGCGTCACATTCCCCAATATTCAAATGCCTCAAACCAAACGAGAATTTTATGCAGTCCCCCCTACGGCAATCTGGTCACTGGTTTTTGGCTTCTCCCGTTTGATTTCATTAAATGGAAATATTCGATTGAAATAATTGATGACGATTTGGTAGTCAATCGAATTTCGGATTAGTTCTAGAAGATTAAAGAGAACTGGGAAATCAAGAACGATTGGTCGCTAATTGACGAGATTGCAAGAGAAAGGGGGCCTAAGAGGCAGGAGGCTCAAAAAAGGACAGAGACAAAAATTGAGTCCACCTGATAAATTGTTAGTGTTAGTTAAATTCATGAACATCGCATAGAAAGGCGTTGTTTATAAATGAAAGAGAAAGAGAGAGATAAACAGAACGAAAAGGGAGAGATCCAGAAATCAGCTCTTAATGTTTGCAGTGGGATAGTGATTTATATGCATGGTAAATACGAAATAAAATTCTTGATAGCTGTTAGAATTCCTTAAGGCCTCAATAAATGTAAGTTATGACAAGACATGAATTTGATTGGCAGCCTGTTAAATTAACCATTAAATTAAAGCCAAATTTAAACTAGTTGTTATACCGAATATTTGTCTGATTTGCCATTAGGCACAGTTGACAGCTTAAGCAGTCAATTATGTACAATTTCCTACGGCTTTTATTTAAGCTTTTGCAAATACATTTTCTAAAACTAGAGCCAGCTCAATTAAGTAGATATTCAGTGACAGCCCCAGCTTCGATTGAGCACTCAAGGTGTGCAGTTGCCGCTTTTTGCGGCAGTCACCCTCAGTTGCCACTTAATTGATGGCAATTATGCGCTTATCACTTTTTGTGCGGCTGGCTCAGCCTCCCATTCGTCTGTTGATATCATTCGCTGTGGCAATGGCTCTGGCAATAATTAAAATGTTTTGTTGCAGCAAAAAAAGTGGACAACTACAGCGCATGAATAAACACCGCCAAAGTGAGGCCAATTAAGAGAGTCTGCGACTCCACCTGTGGATGGGGCACAAAAAAGCATTAAATCAATTCCACTGTCAGCCAACTGACAAGCAACGCGAAGCGAACCCACCGACTGGCCAGCGAATGGGCACTAGCCACTGAAATGCTCAAAAGTCACCGCCAGCAACAGCAGCAGCAGCTAGCAGCGGCACGTAGGGGCCACCAGATGGATGGCCTAACCAAACGAGTGGCATGCATCGCTGCCTGCCTTGCTTCGACAAGGCAATGAAGTTCTTCCAAGGGAGCAAATGGCAGCAAAAAGGATAAGGTTGGCGCTGCATGTGGAGCAATGCCAGCAATTTAACACAGCGAAAACGCCAAGAAATTTCAGCAATTCGCAACGACAATGAGAGATGCGTCGAGGTTACGCTCAATCAATCTCAACCATAGGACAACTGTCTGTGGGCGAGACGTTGGCCACCACAGTGGACAACTGTGAACAGTCTTGTCAAAATCTGGCTGTCTGCAAGCGTTGCAAAGGTGTCGCATAGCTGATGACTTCATTGGGCTTGCATGATTTATGCAAGTACACTTATCTTATTTAATTTAAATTAATAATCAAAAAATTATTTTCAATATTTTGGCAGCTTAAAGCTACCAAATTTTGGGATCAAACTCATATAAATTATCATTCGTTTATACTTAAACATGGCTACTCATAAACTAATATATTAGTAATAATGCATATTAAAATGACTTTTTCATCCACTTAAAGCTCCCTGTCAGCTTTCTCTTTATATCCCTGACAATTTGAGTTAATAAGCTTGAAGAAATCAGCCCAAAGCAATTCAGTTAATGAAATTCTGCTTCTACTCTTTGCAGCTTTAGATGATTACGTGCCAATTTCTTTATAGTTCTTTAATCGCCATACCAAAGGCTTTAGCACATCCCTCTCGTTATGTGGCCGTTGTCCGTTGTCTGTTATCCGTTGTCCCCAGTCTAATTCTCTCGCACTCTGTACCATGCTCATCTTTATTTCCTCGTTATTTCCGCGCTGCCAATTCGCAAAGAAAGTAATTAAGCGAACTTCTTTTGCTGCAATTCCGATTTGATTTTGATGCGCTTTTAGCTTGGGGTTTGGAATCTAACCATACATCATTTACACTTTTTCGCCAAATCATGAACGTTAAAGTTCTTGCCAGCCACATCTAATTAGTATGCCATTTCTGCTATGCTCATGATTTGAAATTACCTTGGAATTGCCAGACCGGCTCTATTCAGTCTATGTTACCATTGTTTCATTTCGCCAACTTCGACTTGGGCTGGTGTGCAGCTTTCGCTGTCTAATTAAAACTCGTTTAACAACGTTTTCAATTGGTTCAAGAACCTGTTGCCCAGCGTCCCTTACCACCTACTGTGTAATCATTTCGCTTTTTGTTTTCCCATGCAGCGTAACAAGGTTTCCATTTCTGCCTCAACTGCTACTGCTGCTGCTGCTGCTGCTGGTGCTTCTGCTTTTTGCTGATTGTGTAATTTTAATGTAATTCGCTTTTATTGTTTTTTATTCGTCTCTCCGTCGCTGTCCACGTTCATATCCACGTCTACGTCCTTGCTGTCGTTTGTGTGTCTGACATTAATTGCAACTGAAAGGGGCGAAATATAATAATTTATTTTCGCCAACTTTTTATGCATGCTTTATTGATTCAATTTTGCCACTATAAGTGAGCATTATATATACATATATATCGTGCTGTGGGTGGTGCAGAATTCCCTGCTCGAACAAAGCGCTTATAAATGCTAGCCCCATAAATCAAACAAATCGGTTTTCGGGCAGCCGGCCCGGAAGCCTCCTGCCCACAACTACCCGAAGAGCAATTAAAGTTTTTCAAGGGCCATGCTGCAATTATGGACATTACAAGAGCAGTCGAAACACAAAGCAAGACGCTAATTGGGCTGGAGGGGGCTGTGCCTGTGGTATATTCGAGTATCTGGCAGGTGCCGGGCGCTGCTGGCAGCAACACTTGCACAAATCTACATTACAATGATAATTTATTACCCCATAGACAAGCAGGTCGTCTGAGTATTAAGCAGGGAACTCGCTGTTTCGAAAGGGGATGCCAAGGTATCGATTGAAAAAATTATTATCTATTTATAAAACAGAGACTGTACTGGCTAGGAACAGACTGCGTTTTGAATAATTCACCTTATATTGAAGGAATGAAAATTTTTAAAGGGCTGCATTACCTTGAAATGATTCCCAATTACGGCGCCTCTGCCTAGAGTAAAATGAACACGTGTGCAAATATCAATGAGAGAAATATATGTCTTGCTATACAATGAACTAATCAAAGGCGGCTTTGCAGGCGCTGTCAAAGTACATAGTAGAACATATTTAGGAATTGCATTGAGCCAAGGTGCCATGAGAGCCTAGTTATGAAGGACCGGCAAGGGGAAGGAGGGGGCATCAAAAAATTGCAGACAAACAGGAAAATGTTGAGTTCATCAAAAGGGGATTTCCAAATACAAATGAATTTTCGGCTGGCAGGCAGACGTCCCTGAGAGAGATACAGTGCTCCGAAGAGCTGCTCAAATAAACACCCACAAGGCCGGAGACAAAGCAGACGGAGGCTCTCTGTCGCCGGCTTGGATGGCAACGTGTACTCGTGTACTTGCAATCAGTCCGCAAAACCTAAACACTTGCCAGTCCCCCAGTCAGCCCTGTCGATCCCTCTTAGGTGTTGGCTCTAAAAACACAGCAAAGCAAAAAAGGCTTTTGCTTACTCTGCGAGAAATGCCAATCAACCCTTTCTTTGCCTTGGTATGTGGAATATGCACGAGCGAATACCAGGCGCTGGTCTAGGCGGAGGATTGGCAATTTTATCCAACTGGTGTGGGAGTATTGAGGCTAGAGGCCGTATAACGTCAACGTGAACGCCGACTCATTTGTATTTCCTTGTGTCTGTCGTTGTTTTCGGCTGGTTGTTGTAATTTTCCAAATCATTTCAGCGATTCAGACGGCAAACTTTTCAAACGTTTAACTAGCCGACATTCCGGGACGTTTAGGATGTGGCTGCTAAAAGTGTAGCATACCAAAAGGCGACCAGGCTCGACAAGCGCAAAATGAGCGAATGCGAAAGTAAAAGGCAGCGACGCGGATTTAAAAGTTTAAATAACTTTTACGTATCTCATTACTCAGAGCGACAACATCACCAGCTCCCCACAGAGCCCCCCTTTAGGTAACCCACCACCCAGCTGTCTGTTCTGTGCAGCTCTGAGCTCTAAAATAATCACAATAAAATCGCATAATTCAATTACAAGCCTCGTTAAGCCGGCTCAAGTGATTTTGTCACACTATGCCCTGCACTTTTGTCGCTTTCAGCAAAGAAAAATAGAAAAAAAATTACGCACAGCAACAACAGAAAACTAAATAAATCGCGTTAGTGTTTGTATAGAAGAGCTAGTGATTTATGTAGGATTTAGAGCTGACGATTATCGGTTATATCTCCAGATAGACAAGCAAGCGTATGATGAATCAAACAGCAAGGGCTGAAAAAGGCTTTAAGCCGGAGCAAAGTTAAAAAATTAAATGCTTTGTGACAGCGAAAAGAAATGTGAGAGATATCTGTTGGATTTGTGAGAAAGTTTAAATATCATGTAAATAAAGAGCTGGAAATAAATTAAATGAATGACAATAATTTCAATTCAAGGTCAATCATTTCTCCAGGCCAATTTTTTGCAATTCTATAAATTTAAAAAAAAATTGTATTAAAGAATTTTATTTTCATAATTCTTTGAAAATACCTGTTCTATCTCCTAGACGTTCTGAGCAATCTAGTTTGTATTCCTCTTAATTCAGATATTTACCAAGCGAAATGAACCCACATTTAATAATAGAAGTGCACTTTTATCAATCCTGCAGCCTGGTACCCACTTTTAATGTTCTTATATTTCATTCCGTTTGCAATTGGTTCGCTTCAAGACTGACTTAATTGAGGTGCAAGTTTTTGACCAAATAGACAGACTTCTACTACTGTACACTCCCCCACAATTTCGCACATCAACAATTAAACAGGATTGTAAGGCTTTTACCTAGTTCACTTTTCAGCTGCTCTAATTGTGGAGCATGCTTTTTGCACTCAGAGCTGTGCCCAGAACCGCAACCAGCACTTGCAGCCTCATTGGACAGGCAACCCCAAGCGTTCCACTGTACTGGCCAACTGTAGCGGTAGGATACTAGTAAAAGGAAGAATTCGCCAACCTGTTTTGGCTTTTGTTATTGTTGTTCTCTTCATTTTTTTTTTTTTTTTTTTTGTTGGGTTTGCACCTTGGTATTTCATGACTGGTTACCATTACGGGCAGTTGGGTGAGTTCGTTTGCATTTTTAGTTTCTTTTAAGTGAAATCTAAATGCTTCTACTACCCCACTGGCTTTTCATTTGTTTGTGTTTCCTAACTCCAGCCCTCTTACCCAGTTCTGGTCATTATCACTGCAAGCATTTAACTTGGCTATCGGAATTCGTTTTGTTGTCGCCCTCTTATTTTCTCCCATTCATTTGGATGCTGTTACTGCCTTGTAGAGACAGGGTGAGGTGGTCGGTTTTTTTGTTGAGTGTAAACAGCATTTGCTGCTCGGTTACCCTCTGTCTATCTTTTTCTCTTTTTCTTTATCTCAAGTTGTTTTTTAGCTCAAAGTGATAAAAACATTTTGCGTTTCATTTCGTTTGTTTTCATTACATATTCCTCATTCTTTGCGAACTGGGGCTGGTCCAGTGCCACGCTAACCCTGTGGCCAAGTTAACGAAGGGTCCGATCCAAATTCCCTGGACACTTGTAATGTTAACCAACAAGGCGAGACAATGCGGCATCATCAAGACATGAACGGGCCACATTCATTATGCCTGCCGACTGCCGGCTCCAGCCCAGATATAGCACGACGATCCGTTTCATAAAAAATGCGTACAACAAGTAAGAGTGCTCTTTTCGCGAGTGACCGACTAGGAGATACCCTGAACCCGGCGAAAAATTGGCTTACAAACATTGTAGGTTCCATTTATAAAAAGAGCAACCGTGATTCTTCCCAATGTATTCTGCCTAAGTGCGTATATATTATGAAATCGGATGGATATATTGAAAAGAAATTAAAGCTTGTTACATATATTTTTACCAAAACATTTTAGCTATTTTACTGATTTTCAATAAAATTCGATTGGCTCATCGTCGCTTCCAAAAAATAAATTCGCATAAAATTGTATCTGTGCTATTTTTAAATAAAACACATAACGAATTGCTTTCGTTTTCATTTCTTTGCCTTTCGCTTTCGTTTTAAGTAGTTTGATTCCTTTGACAATTTCCGGTTTGTTGACTCCTTTCCTCTGTGTTGCTTGTGCTCGCCAGGACCGGCTTTTATGGCTTGTTATTTAAAAGCCATAAAATTCAGCACATGTCTTCAATTTGTGCGTCCCCGAGCCGCTTGTCAAATTGGGCAGTTCCGCTGGGAGCTGCCAAGCTGCGTGAAATTTTGTGGGCCGTAAAACCAAGTGCTGAAAATGAAGGCATCCACCAAATTGTTGGATTGGCTAAATAAACAAAAATTGACAAGCTAGTTGAGATACTGCCACTCCCTTAAGGACGGCCGAAAACATAGAAGAAAACTAGTAAGGGGTGATTTTTTAATTAATGCTTATTTAATAAAAAGCAATATTTCCAATTCAAACTGTTGCTGTTGCTCTTTACCTGATTGAGACTTCTTTGTAAGCTTGATTGATTTAAAATATAAGGAACACATAGAAGTTGGTTTGCCTTCATTTTTTGTACAGCGAAAAGTTTCAATTTCTCACGTTTTGCTTTTTGTCGGCAATGTTCTTTGAATTTCTGACGTTAAATTAAAAAAAAATTCAATAGCTATTTTTCGCCATTTACAGCACACAGTACTCCACTTAAATACATATCCACGAGTGCATATATACACACACACACACGATTGCACACACACGTATACAAATATTCACTATTATTGCACTTTAAATTGCAGTTTGCCGTCAGTGCTCCAGATCTTGAACAAAAGCATTTTAACAAGTGAAATAAATGGCGATTAAATTTCCACATGCCGCATTTCAGTAAAAACCCAACACACTCACACACACACACACACATATGGCATATATAAAGCAACAAATGTGCTGCGAAAATTCACAGTTGAATGCACTTTGAATGGGCGCTGCCACGCCCACAAAAAAATCAAAATCGAGTTTCAACTTTGCCCTCAACACTTGAGCACGTTGATATGCAAATTTTTCATTAGTTAGTTGATTTAGCCAGCCAGTCTTGAGGGCCTTCAGCCACGCCCCCATCACAGCCTGCTCCTTCAAACGTCCTCTCAGTGTGCGATGATTGTGCGATTTTTTAATCAAATCGGCTCACGATTATGGGGGCAAGTTAAGTTGCTGGAATGTTGAAACTATAATTCGCGCATAATATGCCAAAGAGCGTTCGTTGGCGGGGTAGGTAAGGTCAGCAATTTGTTCGCTAAAACAAACTTGAGCTAAAAAAGAGCTCAATTTAACACATTTCATATGTAAATACCGCAAGTACAACATCACGCATGGCACCCAAACAGACCCTAGAGGGTAGCCTGGCAGCCCGGCAGCCCGGCAGCCTGGCAGCGTGGTCCCCAGCTTAACGCTCACAGGTCCCAGGTCTACTGGCAGTTCGCGGGCAAACTTGTTTCCCCACAAAAGGCCAGTAAATTACTGCAACACGCAACTTCAGACTGGGAGCTTCGAACCAGGCCATAATAATCGCCTTTAATAAATTATCGGCTTGCGCGGCGCGAAAACGCAAGGCAGCCGCCCCAAGCCCCAAACAAGGGGGCTGGACAGGATTCGCAATCGTTCGGTGGGGTCAGACGATTGAGCGGGCTGTCGTTTGGTCTGGGCATACTTGCTGCATCACTCAGTGGTCAACAATGCAAACGGGAGCATGTCCGCGCCCAGATGCAGACCGGACCCAGGCGCTGGCCGACATTTAAATTGCACTATAGCAAACCCCGCCAAGCCCGACCGCAGCCCGTCGCTTGCCGCTGCACCCACTGCGTTTAACTTGCGTGAAATTTCAATTCGCGGCTTTCAGTACGCTGGCAGCGGGAGCAGGCACCGAGTTCCGATGGGGCAATTGCAATAATGAAGTGCTTGAATGCCAATCAGCAGCAGCGTCGTCGAAAGACGCCTCGTTTATGCGAGGTTAACTCCTACAGTTTCTTACAAATCGAAAACTTTTGTGGCCAAAATATTTAAAAATTTTTTTGGCTAGCCTCGCGCACACATAGAGGTTAACCTTAACCCGTCAACAGACTTGCAACCAGTTCTGGATGTGTGGCATTGGCAAGTAATTTTGTCATAATTTTGATAAGTTGTTAACAAAAAGGCTCCCAAATTGTTAAGTAAATAGATTGTGATTTTATTTTCAGTCACGTAAGCAACAACAGCACGGACATGTTCCTGTTTTCACTACCCAAAATCCTTTCCCTGCCCCGCATCTACTCCCATGCCATGCACCGGTTACCATATTGCAATTACTTTTTCCCGCGCATGAAAATAATTGTTGTGTTCACGTTGTTGTAAATTTATGAGGTGATTTTTCATAAACGTTAAACGTTCACTCCAACATTTTTACATATTTCTTGTAAAGTTTTTATTTCTCTTCTTTGAGGCGAATTTTTTATATGCGCCAACATGTTGAAATTAATTTATGAATTATTTTGTTTAAAATACCAAGAATAAACAACATGAAGCGTGCAATTAACGGGGTGTTTTTATTTTTTGTTTTTTTTTTTTTTTCTTTTCAGTTAGGAGTTTTCGTTCGGAGGGAGGTAAAAATCGCCGCCTGAAGCAAAAGTCAACAACGTTCAAGTTTTTAATAGGCAAGTGTTGAAAATTGTCGGCCTGGGTATTGACTGATTTATATACATATTTTATCAGGGTAACGAATTGGCCAGCGGTTATATGCGACAATTTAAAAGGCGCTAGTTGAAGACAGTTTGTAAAATGACCAAAAACATAATTCATTCAATTTTGCAATAAACAATTATACCTTCATAATTTTCAGATATATTAAATGCAAAAAAGAAGAAGAGTAATGAACTTGATATAATTTTGGGTTTTGCAGCTATTTTAGGGTATCCGCTATTCGGTCATTCCCTACTGGAGCACTCTCACTTTTTTGAAATGTGTAATTTAATCATCCTTGTCCCAAAAAAAAAAGAGTTAAAAATAGAAAATACAAAACTTGATTCTTAAGCTAGAATTTGTTGAGTCTACGACATTTGCACTTAATTTGAGTATGAAATGAATAGAAACCTTATATCGTCCACTAGACTCTATTTACACTCAATCAATTCTGCTTAACGCAGCTGCAAAAGTTGGGAATACTATGAAGAAAATGCGGATCGGTTTCACTTCATTTACGCATTAAATTGCAGCGCAACTCATTTTCTACATGTAATCAATGTGCAAATTACATTTTGGCCAACAGCTTGACGCACAGATGTGGCTAAAAGCTGGGCAAACGGCAAACCAAAGGGCACTTTAATGTACTACGTCAATCAGAGAACTCGGCTTGACCTCCATTTAAATCATTGACGAAGCCGCCGACAAGTGACAACGCTTGGCAACAGAACGGAAGAGCCGACCAGCACACGGACAAGATGGAGGCTCCGAGGCTGCAGAGGAAACGCATTGCAAACGTAATCAAGTAATCAAAAGTCCAAATCATGCCACTGACAGACCCAAACTTAGGCTGTGGAAGCAGCGGGCTGTGGCAAGAGTGGTGCATTGCGTGCTCCGCCCGATTGACAGCTCGACACGACAGACCGGCCGAGGGGGGTTGACAGACGCAACATGCAAAGATGGCACTTAACGAAAGCAGTCGACCGACAACTGATTGAAGTGAAACAAACCAATGAACAGACACTCAGGTCATCTCTTGGTGTTTGGATCAAAGAGGGTGGAGAGTGGATCCCCAACTTCACAGCAAGTGCAACAGCAAGAAGAAGAACAATGCTCGACCAAATAGACATCCAGGCAATACACTTGGACACGTAGTCTTAATACAAGCCATGACATTAGCAGAAATCAAAAAACAAATTACGAACTTTGACTTTTGCCATTTGGCTTCAAAAGAAAAAAAAAACGAAGCAAATACAAAAATCATTGCTCAATCGACTACAGCATTTGGCATTAAAGTTGGCATTGCAAACGAATTCGCAAATCCTTTCAACTGTTGTATCTATCACATGTGGCAGAGGAAATGCCTAACGATTGGCATTTAAAGATTTGTTCGTATTGGGAAACGGAGACAAACGAAAACATGCAGCAAATGTATTGGAAGCCGGAGAAATGTTAGACAAGGTACTATATGAATAGGTGACTTTGGGGATTAAGTTGAAAGTTTGATTTTAAAAGCGTGCGTCTCTTTTTGGTCAAACGGGGCAAATTTTTTTGCATAGATAAATATTTATCTGCATGCATCAAGTTTGCAAATTCAGGCTATAAGCTTGAAAAAGTATGCAGAAAACTCTTGAATCCAATCTGGTTGGTTTTTAACCGATTTCATTTGCACAGATATATTTCAGAGATTGTTTGAAAGTTTGAGAAAAACATTTGACTCGTGTAAAGCCGGGTAATACCAGTAAGTAAGTATATAAAGTATATGTACTCTATTGATTAGCACTTGTTCCTCACATTTTGAGTTTTTTATGCATGGTGTCAGCTGTATTTCAGGCACATGTGAAATGCAAACAAGCTGCTATTGATGCCGGGCCGGGCAATTGGCCATCCATCCATCCGTCCGACAACCCGCACAATCTGACCCCCATGACCTTGCCCACCCATCGATTGCTTTGAACTTGTAACTAAAGCTGGCACGTAGTTGAACCTTAGCTCACAACACAGACGCAGCACATACCGGCTGGCGTCTAAGAGAAAGACAGTCACACACTGAATAAGAGGGTAAGGAGAAAGCTACTGCAGCAACTAGAGATGAGTCTGTTTCTCCATAGGAAACCTGTTTAAAGCGATTAGCAAATCTTTTATGTCCAGGCTACAATAAAAACCGTTTTGCCAAATATAATTTTCAACTTAAACCAATTCTTTAAGCTGAAAATCTTAAACAAGACTTAAGCAGTAAGTAGATCCTGACATTCCCGTCATTGAATCTCCTTGAATCTCGGGAAAAATCGAACATATCACATAAATCACATCGAAATTTGAGTTAGTTTCATGTTTGTATTAGGTCGTCCCTTTAAAACCCGACACACGCCCATCTCTAGCAGGAACTACAGCTGCAAGTTGTATAGTCAGCAAAACTATTCGTCAACTCGTGCGAAGCGTTTATTATTGTTGTATTTGCTACGTGACGTTGAATTCGAAGACGACTTAAAGGTGACATTGCCAGGACCCATGCCGGGGCAGACGTCATAAAAATGTCGCAGGATTTGCTGCCAGCGCTCATTTGGCTGCAAATGTCTGACCAGCTTTATTCAAGTCGGCATTTCCTTTGCGCCGCGCCAGCTCTTCTTCCAATTGTGCGGCATCTCTGGGTATCCTGCTGCAGTCCTGGCCACCAGCTGCCAACGCCGTTTAGCTGTTTAGCGCCGCAAAATCACTGCAAATCCTCGTGAGTAGGAACCCCACTGCAGTTGCCCCTTGCCAATCCCAGTAGTTGATCTAATTGCGAATGCACCCGTTTGGAGACTGCAGCTGAACGTGCCGCGAATTGAGGCAACGATTTAAGTAGCCCAATTGGACGCACGTAGCTGGAATCGGCAGCAGGACGATCCATCCTATATGTATATAGCATTTTCATGGCACAAATCAGTATGCAAATAAAACGCACACAAATCTAAGGAAAGGTCAAAGCTCAATGCCGAATTTGATTACTAAAGAGCTGAGCGCGGGTTCAGTGCTCCTATTTTATGGCATTTAAGGCTGGACCGCAGCCCACTTCATTCGCACTTCCCTTAGACTAATTTTCATGCTTGCCTTTGGGCATGCCCAAGCCGAAAATACCAAAAAAAAAAAAAAAGTAAAAGAAAAAATGTAAAATAAAAGAGCGAAAGCCGCGAGACGTTGGCGTCTTTTAGGGGCGTATCTCCATTTAAAATTTAATTTGAGACCTATTGACATTAGTCTCTGCCCTTTGTCTTGTTTTTTCTTACGTTTCGATTTTTTATTCTCACCAAATTAAATATCATTTTTTTGTTGTTGGGCAAGTCCGCTGGTGCTAAAGGCAACGCCACTTTTCAGAATTGGAACAGGTCATGAATTATGAATAGGATGCAGTACGTATTATTATGTGTATATATAAGTGTATATCATACAGATTTTACTTCATTTGCTTTGGGCTATGCAAAACGAGTTAAGGAATAATTTATGATTTATATTTTGGTTCTTATTATGGTTGTATTTATGTTTTTCAATGCTGCGTCCTCTCTACTTAAACCTTTTTTTTCCTTAAACAGCATCCATCTTATATATTCAATTCAATATTCAATTTATTCATAGTAGAAGTAATGAGAGATTCAGAGATCAAAATTTTCAAAGCCTCGATGTTCTGCTTATTAGTAAGCTTCAGTAATTATTTCAGCTTCCTAGCTCTTATGGTTTGAGCTGTGCGTTGATTACTCAATCAGTGAGTCAGTCAACAAGAACTATTGTATATATATATATGTACAGATAATACTCATGAAACTATTGGCTTAACCCATAAACTAATTGACAGTTAATTAATAATTCTGTTTTCCCATCCTTAAATATTCATTTGATTTCCAATTGCTTTCTACATAACTAGATATCTCCATTCGTAATCCAATGCCGACCTGAACTCTACTGACGTAACTTCTGTGGATTACAGGCTGACTGTCAATCGTATGGCAACAGCCATGACGATGCAAATCTTTTATTAATTGAATAAGGAAAAATGCATTTACAAGAACTTAAATCGAATAGTCAAATATGGTGATGGATACTCGGGATGTGTGTGGCTTACACTGATAGCGCTGTGCGCCGTAAACCAATTTCATTGGAATTAAAATTCTAAATAAAATAAACAAAGTTAGCGAACGAAAAAGAACGCAGGACATGAATGTGAACGTGGACATGGGCTGTGGACATGGACATGGATGGGGCTTGGGAAGTCGCCTTCGGCTTCCGCTGCTTATGGCCAAGTAAATGGCGCAACATTCGAGTAGTTTTAGTTTTACTAGTACTTTTAGTGCAGCAAATCCCAATGCCAGACCCAATCCCAATGCCAAAGCCGCCTGCAGTCAAACTTGCCGGCATCGGCGTCGGCGACGTAGTCGCCTGCAGAGATGCTAAAGCTGATCCTGAGATTGTGTTGTAACAAGTTAATTGAATTTGCACTCAACCAAGCGTCATGCATCGGCATCACGAGCTGAATGCAGACGTAGCGATATGCTGGCGAGAGAGAGCGAGAGAGAACGAGAGTGATGGGAGAGAGAGTACTGGGAGTGGGGGAACTTACCCCACTGAAAGGGCAGAGAAAAGTGGTAGATATACCGATACAACTTACTTAGTTTATGGCAACACCAACAAACCAATGTGGGTCCCGCTCTCATTCTCTCTCTCTCTCTCTCTCTCTGTCTTCTCTTTTGTGTCCGGATTCGATTTCAGCTTCCACTTCCTCTTGACTACACACACTCATACTGACTCCCGATTTCAGGCCCCAATTTTCACTGCCTTCATTTTTGGCCCCAGCAAAATTTTGTGATTTGCACAGATTTTTGCTTGTCGTTCTCAAGTTCGCCTTACTTTTTGTTGCCTCTTTGCCTCATTTCTGTTCCGTCCTGTTCTGTTTTATTCTGTTCTGTTCTGTTCAGTTCAGTTCAGTTCAGTTCTCTAGTCGAATCCGGCGCATTTTATGCTGTGCAACATTGTTGTAGCTGCTGGCATCAGCTTTGAAGTTCATTAAGCGCATGTGAGCCGGTGCCAAACAATGTCACACACCCTCCTCTAACTACACACCTTGCAACAAACTCGCCTCATACTAGCCTGTGTTGATCCTTGCAGACAAATGGGCCTGCTGCTGGAGAGCGAGTGCACAAGCTTTTAGCAGATTAGTTTTCATCATCTTAACATTCCTAATTAATGACGCCTTTGTTCAGCTCCATTTAGGTGTTAAATCAAAGACTTGCCGGGCATGCATGCGTAATGACTAATGAGTTGCAAGAGATGAGTTCAGATGAGTTTGGATAAGTTAAGATAAGATGAGCTGCGATGAGAGACCCCAAATTTTGAGCTGCACTCTTTAATAATTGCTATTTTGCCTGCAACAGCAGCCACTGAAGGTGGATATAGCTCATTAGTTGTGCTCATTGTAAGCTGCTTGTAAAATTCCAAAGCACAATAGGGAAGGAAACCCTACACTAAATGCGCTACCCTGCTGCTGCATACATGTGTTTGTTACCTAACTAAGATAATTATCGTATATGCATGCCAAATGCAGACAAAAGAACTTTTTCTACCCTTGTTGAGGGTATTCAAATTTTCTCATGAAAACCCAGAAAAAGACATATCCGACCCGAAAAAAGTATACTTAATTAATATCAGAAGCCGCATCGTTCGTTATTCCACACGTGTATTTGCTCTTCGGCTTGTTATATATTTTCATATAATTTATTCCCATTGTATGTAAACGTTGAATTTCGTTCATCTCTTTCCATTGTAATCTACTAATTAAATCCAATTCATTTAATTCATTTGTGAGTATCTCATTAACCCACATGCTCGTCATGTCAACTTTAGGCAAACAAAGGCTTTCAAATATCCCAAAATATTTTATTCTCATTGTTTTTTGAAATGCCAGTTTTTGAATATTAAATAATCTATTTCGGCTTATTCTCTTGGCATATTTAAATTAAATAAAATGTTGCATATTCATTTCAAAATGGTGTCAAACAGTACGTGACATTTTTGTGCAACTAGTCAGCCCACGAGTTAGTTAAATTATTTATAGCGTATACAATTTTAATGCCATTATTTGACTCCACACATTAATTAACATTGCACTTAATTAGGCGTGTGGCCATATTTGTTTTAATCAGTATGAATGAGACTTCATGTCAATTTGGCAGCAGCAACAACAGCAACAACAACAACAGCAATATCAACAGCGACAGCGACAGCTAATTGCAGCTCATGCGAAAAACATCGTTAATCAACTCATTGACAGTTTGTTATTTGTTAAACAAAGCTAATGACTTAATGGCATAAATGGTGTGGCAACGGCAACTATATACATACATATATATATAAATATATATAGACAAGCAAGGATATCCGACAGCAGAACGACCAGCAGGTCCATCCGATAGCTGCTAAGCGGCATGACACACCAGGCCACGACTGACTGGGTAAATGTGAGGCGGACGCGTCTCGTGTTCGTATTTATGTAGATAAACAATAAAATGACAAGCGAAGGTAAAATTAATTGTGCTGGTCACCTAAGAGCTGGACATTATAGCGCAGGAGCTTGGGGACCAGGCTGACTCGGAGGGTCGGCCATTGTGCATCATGTTATGCCCAAGAGAGAGAAAGAGAGAATGAAAGAAAAGCAAAAAAAAAAGGGCAAATACAATATTGTACACTTAAGCATCAAATTGATCAAGAGTGCTCTAGACGAAAGGGCCCGACAGAACAGGCTGTGTTTCTTCTACCCTTGATAACTTCTTTATATAATGGCATAAATTTGGCATATAAGGCTATACCTCTAAAAAATGAAAATAGAAAAGGGTGCAGGTATCGAAAAGGTGAAAAATAAATTTTATATTTCGAATGTCTACCTCTTTGTAAATTCTCATAACATAATTATACCTATCGATTCTTATCAATTCTTAAAAACATTTAAACAACTCCTCAGAATTCGAAATCTCTATATATTAAACTGTTTGTTCCGACTGACTGTCGGGAGCAACAGAGCTTGGAAGCTGAAATGTTCACTGTAGTTAACTTAACTGATAAAGGTGCATGTTAAGGCGGGGCTTGGGAAAATTTTAACCGCATTTGGGAAAAATCTAGTAAAACGTTTATATGAAATTTGTTTCCCATCCGCCCATAGTCATTTCCAAAGCTCCACTTGAAAACTCATTTGAGACGCGTCTTACATTTTTCGCAAAATCAAAGCTTCCTCGGTGCAATGATCTTTGAAAGAATTTATTGCCACGGACAATGCTGGGGTATACCCGCTCAATAGTCAAGTTCGGTACCTATTTTCTAAGTTCTAGGCAGGCTTGGACTATTCAATCCTATTTTGACAGACCTTATCTGAATTCTGGCCTCACAAAAGCGTTTTAGTTAGTTGGCTCTCAACATTCAGATCGAAAAAATAAAAAACTTTTAATTTTTATAAAATTAAGCCTAAATTCAAAGTAATTTTCAAGTAGATATTTTTTTTGAAAGAATCCCTGGCATTGGACGATCAAAATGAACATGAATTACAACAATATTCCATATGAAGCGAACTACACTGATGATGTCAGTATGACACAATAACTATCGGTTAATAGAATAATATTGAATTATTATCGATCTTTTTATAGATGGTGGGCATGCATCAGATGAGTATGCCGGCCGGATCCATGCCGATGACCATGCCGATGGGCATGCCAATGAACATGCCGGTGGCGGGCATGAACCAGATGCAATTACCTATGGGTAACATGCCTCCGATGTCTATGCCCATGGCTACCGCCGGTCCAATGTCTTATCCCATGCAACGCACTATGATGCAATCACAGCCGATGAACATGCTGCAACAGGCACAGGCCAATCAGTTGGCCATGTCGATGTCGCAGCTACCGCCTGGAGCTGTGACGCCCTTGAACAGTGTTTCCGTGATGCCAGTGATGGGTGGCGGGGGCGGTATCGATGGAGGTGGCATGAATGTTGTTGTGCCCGATCTACAGCCCTTGTCAGCCATGTCTCAAATGAGTCCAAATACTCAAATGCCGCACATGCATCAAGGCCGAATGACTGGCGGTTCATCTGCGGGAAATACGAATTGGATGCAGGGTGGCAACGCAACCCAAATGATGCCGAACAACATGTGGAACTATGCTCAAAGCTATCAGAACATGCAGCAGCAGCATCAGCAAGCACAACAGCAGCAGCAGCAGCAGCAGCAACAACAACAACAGCAGCAGCTACAGCAGCAACAGCTCCAGCAGCAGCATCAGCAACATCATCAACAGCAACAAGAACAGCACCAACAGCACAATCACCAGCAGCGTATGAAAAGCCACTATGATTATTCCAATGCCAACAACTACAGGGAGACTCGCAATGGATTGAAGTAAATAAGTTATAAAATTTATTCCAATTTTCTCGACTACGACTACAACTGCGTGTTTGCTTTCAGCTCGCCATCAATGCATGATGCATTGAGGTTAAGGGGTAGCAGTGGATGCATATCTGGTAAGCCGTTAATGTAAATTTTTTACAGGGCTATAACCCAACAAAAAGTCACTGATATGGCTCACGGCTCAAACCAACTCCTTGTCTGGAGATTCTGTTATTGAACCTGGTTGTGGTTCGGAAATTTGATTCCAAGCCATCATTCGCTTATAATGTTTCATTGCCTTTTTACAGGAAAGAAGGTTCCGCAATGGCGTTAATCTACAAAGCTCGTCCGATTTTACGTTCATATTCGATACCATCAATTTGCAACAGTTTCGGTTTGTGAGAAAATTGTTGTGTTCCTCACATGTACACATTATACACATACAGTACAATTTTCTAGATACCATAATTTTCCTCGAGATAATAATGGACGATTTATATAGCTGTGTGGACTTGGGTCTCCAACCAACCAATACGTGTTGCAATGTTGGTAAATTGTGTAATGAATTATTTAAAAGTATCTTTGGTGTTCTAAAATGTAATAAAAATTCTTAATATTAGTACATATAGCTTAATTCTAAATTCAAGATGGCTCCTTCCGAGAAAAACCAACGTGAATATTCTCGTTTACCGCCTACTCTTCTGATCAGGGCGTGGCCGCAATTTAAAAGTAGCTCTGCGAATGCTTTGTATAATTCTATAGTCAGCCACAGCCACAAACACCGCAACGACTACAACAACAAAAGTTTGTGCAAAGCGCGGAGAGGGGCACGTAAAAGTTTTCACAATTTTCGCTGGCGGGCACAAATGCATTTGGCGTCGGGTTTTCACTTTGGCTGCGGATTTGGCTTTAAACGCTTTGATTTATGGCATTCAGACATCAAAATTGGCAACATGTTGCAGACTGGCCCGAGTCCCGATATCAAGACATTTGGCTAAAAAATGAGCCAAGCAAAGCAAAAGCCAAAACCGTACGCGGTGCGATGAAAAATTTATGCTGACCGCATGATGAACGCATAAAAAATGCTGCCAACTTATGGCTAAAATGCAATCCAACTCGTTCCAGCGTATATAAACAATGGCTTTATCGAGTCAACGGCATCAGCTGGCGTTACGAGGCCACTCTGGGGATACTGTGGCCACGGATATCGTATAATGTACAGTGGGACGTAACGCATATACATTTGTATATACAAACACACACACACACACACACACACACACACACACACACATAAATATGCTAGTCCGTGACAGGGACCAAAACTAAGTCATTTTGTTTGGACGTTAGATTCTGGCAGCGAAGGTGTGAATATTTTATGTGACACTATTTTGATATCATAAATCTTACAGTTGTTTATTCACCCGCAGTGGCTTTAGGGGCCACCAAATTTTCAGTTGCTTCGCTCTTTGAAGAACGTGGCGCCAGTCGTGGACTGACAGCGGCTTAGCCACTCGGGTCAAGTAGTTCTTTTTAGGCTAGACTATGAGTTGTTCTATATTCTGACTGATTGGCTGACTAATTGCCAAGAACATTTTATATTCGATCGGTTTTAAGCTCGTTGATAAAACTTTTTGTGCAAATTGGCTTCAAGATGGAAGTTGGAATTTTGATCGGAATTTTGAATAACTAGAAACGAGTCTACATATACAATAGCCTTAATCTTGGCCTTTCTGCATTGTGTGCCTTTATAGAGCTCTTATACCTCTAAGCAGAACAAAATATATTTTTCATTTGTTTAATTTACGAAACGAGTTGCTTGTGTTTGCAAAATTTCAACAATGCCAAAACTAAAATAATCTCATTTAAACTGCCATCCAGATGCAGCCATTGCCACAAATACATACGAATAAACACACACACACACACACAAATACTTTTCATAGAGCTCCAACTGAACCGGGTCCTGAGACCCGATGCGCACATAAAATGCACATGCCCAAAATTGTTTTGGTTGAGAATTTCTGCAGAAGCAGCTCCCGCAAGTATTTTACATTTTTTGCAAGGGTGGGCGGGTGGCAGCTGAGGCATCATTAAAATTAAAAAACCCACAAAAACAGACAGCTGAATGGAAGTTGAATGCTCCACGAATGGACATTTGAAAACTTTCAAGGAAACTGACGCACACGACAATGTGAGCTCCAGCCCTACAGTGGGGCTTCTTTTAAGGGGAGTTGAAGCATAGCTTGTCCAAAAGTTGAGAGTCCAATGCTGTTGGTTATGCGTTGCGTTAGCTGCACGAAAATATTATTCATGACGGAAGCAATACTCAAAATTTTGTCTATTAATATCTAGGCAATTCTAGGGATGAGATCAGAGTGGTTGGTCGGCATGGGTTGGCTAGAACATGGTATTACTGGATACTGTGGGTTGGCGGCGCATGGTTCGCTTGCTGCGTCTGCATATGTCCAACTGCCAGACCAACTGCCTGTTTGTCTAACTGACATACACATACTACACTGTAAATGCGGTTGCTTGGATACGGAGACGACTACCGGGACCGAACAGCCGATCTGCCTGGGCGCACATTGCCAACATAACCTCAAATTGCATTCCTAATTCCTTTTATACTTCGCATGCAGTACACACACACACGCACACACCCACCCAGAAACCCCTTTCTGCAAAATGTGCAATTTCCGCTTGAAGGCAGAGCAAGAGTTAGGAGAGAGGGCACATTGGAATATTTCGTAACACAAAATTTATTAGAATCATTTTATTATTTTGCGGGCAACTTCATGTTAGCATCAACATACGTCAAATTTTCCATAGAAGCATCAGCTCCAGTAGCACAAGAAGCTGCAGCAGCTAAGCAGGCACAGCATGCAGGACAGGTGCTCGGCTCTAAACACTAGGAGAATGTAATTTTGCAATTGCTATTCTGGGCTTGAGTGAAATGGTTGTGGGCATAGAGCAACAATCAAATGTGGGCATTTCATTTAATACATTAAAATACTTGGCAATTCAAAATGCGGCATTAAAGTATGTTACATGAATAAAAATAAGCCGCTTAAAAAAAATGAACATTTTATAAATATTTGTCTTTTAACAAATAAAAGCAAACTCCCAAATGTAAGCAGATCTAAATTGAAAACTATAAAAACCCAAAGTACTCAGGTTGAGAGTGGTCAAATAGCAGATATTCTGTAATCAAAAAAACCTGATGGCGCTCAAGTAAACTAAGCAATGCGCTAACTTTAGGCAGATATTGCTAATACACCTCTAAGTAATCGCAGCTGGACTTGACAAATTTCCAAATTCCTGCTCAGTTTTTGCCATCGACCCGAAGGACATTGGCTATTAATATTTCTTGATTTGTTACAACAAAAATTCTTTTCAAAATCAATAGAAATTTTTAATAGGAATTTCACTAAAAGCATTCTTAAACATTTCTGTTAGGCTATAGCAAATTGGGACTTTGTCAAAACAGCAGCTGTGCAAATTAGCCATAATTGCTGCTTAAAATCAAGTTGGCAGCTACTTCATTTTGCTACATTTCCGGAATGCCTTTCCTTAGCTTGTGGTAGGCCGCCAACTGCATTGAGATAAGCGCTTCAGCTGCAAAAATGAAAACTCATTTTCATTTCTGTTGGCAACATGAATGTCAACATGTATTGGACTTGTCGTTTGTTGCTGCACAAAACATTTACAGCTTTGACATCGCTTTTACTTGCAGAGAGAGAGAGAGAGAGCAAAATATACCGGAGCACAAGGCTCACAGGCAGTGCTGACAAATCAGCTATTTTTCTAGCTAAATTTGGCTTTTTCAACTGTCCTCAGCCTAAAACAGTTATAATCTTAATCTTATTTAGGTCATTTTTTGGCACCTCAATAATGGTTGCCAATTTGAGCTCAAAAAGCTAATGCCGCTATTTTCTCTATTTCCAACACTGGAATCAGCTACGATTTTAGAGAGAGAGTTGACAGCACCGGCTTCTGTTGCAGTGTAAACGTTGTGCCTTGTTTAGAATTTGCAGTGTGCCTTTTTGATTGTTGCTTTTCGTTTTTGTATTTCTCTTTTCCTCTCTCTAGCTCACTATTTTTTAACTTTATGGTTTTTTGAAACTGTGCCAACATTTTGCTTGTTTTTGCTGATAACTTCATCATCGTCCTTGCCATGCTTGAATATTTGCACCGAAAAAAAAAAAACAAAAAAAAAGGAAAAACTTGTTGGCCAAATGTTTTGTCATGATTTGTGTGCATCCGCTTGGTTGTGTGCGTCTGTCTGTGTGTGTGTATTTTGTGCTTCCTTTACGAACTGCTGTCAATGAAAACTTTGCGTATGTGTGTGTGCACATCACTTGGCCCAGATTATCGAATGTCTGGTGGCATGGAATAAATGCGGAAGGGGTTTAAAGGGGTTTTGTTTTGCTCATTTCTGGTGCTTTGAGTAATTAAATTTATGGCCAGGCGGCACATGTATAAACTGGCAACCTGTTCGCTTCGATCTCAATATTCACCAGCCGCAGATGCTATTCAAATGTTTGACTTTTTGGCCCGTGTCCATAACTATCCATGTTCCAGGCCTGGTATTTCCTAGTTGTTGTTTTTATTGTCGTGCCCGACTGGCCGGCTATTAATTTCGAATGGGCTGAGGGGAGGGGCCTCGGACCGGAGGCCCATGTGTACACATGTTTGGGCTTGTAAAAATGTCATGTTAATTTGTGGATTGTGCGACCAGCACCGGACAGTGGAGCATGCAAATAAATGTCTCGCTCGTGCTCACCAGCCACCCACGCCTCAGGCGATGCCCAGGGCTTTTGCTGCAGATTTATGAGCAAATCTGATAAGTGCTGCCAATAAATTTCGGATACAACAATTTGCATTGCATGCTGTTCGTCTCGCTGGAAAATAAAGACATGCTAGCTTTTTTTTGAACCAGTTAAGTATTTTGGCTATTTTATAGCCACAAAAGCAATTGAAGATTTCATTATGGATTACTTTAATGATCCGCTAGTGGTCTAATATTTAGTGGCAGTTTACACGGCTTAGTAAGCGTATTAGGCTTGTGTGTGAGCAGAATAATCAAAAGGTTTATCAGCATTCTATATATTAACCATTTTGAAACTTGCTTAATATTAACCTTCTTTATTAACATTATACTTCAAGGTCGATTGAAATAAAAGTAATTAAATTCGATGTATGAATATTTTAATACAAAAAATGATGTTGGTAAATATGCATTTTGTTTTATCTTGAGCTAACTAAAGTTTCCTTAATGTCTGGTAAAAAGCAAAGCTATTTAATTATTCCATTTCCTCATATTTCCACATAGGAATAAACACAATTCTCTCGTCCATTTTTGTCAGTAAAACAAAAAGAACATTGCTCATACGCATCATGCGCCCAGATTTCAAACCAAACGTAATCACAGAGTCGCACACAAAAATACAACAAAAGCCACAAGAAATCAGTGAATTATACAACATTTAAACAAACACAAAACTCATACCCATACACATACATGCAGAGAGAAATGCATAGAAATCCACAAAATTAAGTTAAGGCGCTCACACAAT